GACATCAGTGAATGAAACATTTGCAAGCAGATTGTGGTATAGTGGTTTTCAGACTTTGTGTAAGTGTAGCGTTTCATTTTTTTGAATAAACTAACCTATCACATTTAGGTCAGGTGAAGAATGCTTATCATTCTTGATGTGGATTCTGTGATCACTTTTTTCTAGTGTCAGTTCATTTATGAAGCCTGGATACTCGTCAAATTTATTGAGGGCATATTTCTCTACTTCAAATTCACTGAACACATATTACACAATTTTATGGTATAAGGAAGTTAGTTATGAGCATAACAGTTACTACTGAGGTTGGTAATGTGCTGGAGTGAAGTAGAAATATAAGTTTCTATCACACGCTAACCAACTGTGTTTTAAGACACCTTGTTTTGACTTTTCCTCAGTTGTTAAGACTGAGTTTTAATAGAACAGCTATCGTAAGCACCATAGTGTTGATCCCTGAAAAGATCATTTACTTTTCCGGTATCTTGATTTTTACAACTCTACTTAAGGAATTTATTCTAGTATTCAAAAAGTGATAAATGTTTTGTCTGAATGACAAAAGTTTTGTTACACTTGTTTGTAGTTGGTAGTAATTAAACTGCCTGACTGTAGTCGGCTTAATTTTGGCTAACAATGAAATTTAGTTGGCGCCTATCCTCCCCCTTAAGACTCATTAGTTCTATTGAAACACGTTCAAGTGAGCATTATTCTTGATACAAAAATAATATCCCACCGTACGGCCCTTTTGTAAGACAAATTTTGAACTCCACTAAAATACAGATCATTTCTTAACTTGTATCTCTCCTATTTAAAATAGTTTGCTTTCGTACATTTTACTGATTATAAAAAGGAACCTATCTCATTCACTATATCAACTTTAAGACTTTCCATTTTCTTCAGCGAAGCTATATAATGACCAGAGAGAGACGAGATCATTCCAATGAAGCTTTAGTACTCTGAATCAGGAGCTTGACTCTTACCCAGGGAATCATGCGTTCAAAAAATACTCTGCCTTCCATGGACTGAACAATTATGTAATGTCTCCACAAACATTATGAATGGGGTAGGTTCTGTAGTACGTCACATTCTATGTGGTTGCTGAGTTGTATTATAAGCGTGCCCTTCAATTTTGTTTCTACATTCGGCATAGAATCAAACTTTATTGAATAGACTGGAAAAAGCGACTGTTAATTAGAAATATTTCTCGTGAACCTGTCATTAAACTACTTATACAGTAAAGTATGAACAGAATTGCACAGTGTAAAGCAAGAGGAGCAGTCAAGATATCTCAAATTCGGACATTGAGAAAATCAAATCATTTACCAAAGTGAGAAATCCCTTGAGTACCGGGAATTCACTCTACTCAGAGAAGTAAAAGAACATAAAATAATCCGTTCATAAACTGTCCTAAATGCAACTCGTGAAACATACCGATTAAAAAGACAATCAATATTTCACTCTCTTCCCTGCAGTCTCCTTAACCTGACTCCACAACTGCCCACAAGCTTTCACTTCTTGCTCACACCATCTCCTCCATGTTACCCTTGACTTGGATGCCCAACTCCTCGTTTCCCATTCGAGCTCCACTCGAGGGCCTAGCCTGAAGCGTGATGTCCCCAATCAGCCCTCTCAGTGTATACCCAACCCATCTCCACTTTCTTCTGCATATTCATTGGATGATAGGTTCTTGGTTGATTCTTTCCCAGATTCCCGTGTTGCTTATTCTTATTATTCTGGCCACCTGATCTGATCTTCAGTATCGAGTGAGCGAAGGCGGCAGCTGTTCATGTTTGTCTGTAGTTTGTTGAAAGTGCTCTTCGTAATGCACCAAGTTTCTGAGCCATACAGAAGCAGTGAATGGATATTGGTGTTAAAAATCTGGATCTTGTTCTTTGTGCTGAGTGCAGTAGATCTCCACACTGATTTCAGGCTAACGAAGGCCTGTCTTGCTGTCTTTCCGATCCTGGTTTCGACATCCTCATCTGTGCCTGTGTCGCCTGTAGTTGAAACGATGCTGTCTAGGTAGGTGAGAAAGACAACTTCCTTTAGATTTCTCCTGTTGATGGTGATTGGATCTTGTTGTTGTTGTTTGGTTGGGTATCTTCATCACCTCCGTCTTCTCTACGTTCACTTGAAGTCCCATCTTCGCTGCCTTGCCTCTTCTGTCAACTTGTTAGTTTTCTCCTGTGGATCTTCGAGCTTGTGCTTCAAGACATTAGACATAAATCATCATCGATGAAATCCAAATCTTCTAGGGTCTTCTCATCGGTCCAGCCAGCGTATACCCATCTTCTCGCTCCTCACAGTTTCTTGCATGATCCAGTCCAGTTCAGTCGACCACAATCAGGAAGATCATGGGTGATAGTAGGCGGGAACCTTGTCTTACTCCTGTCTTCACTTCAAAGGCGTCACTGAGCTTTCCACTGCCAATCACTTAGCATGTAGCACCATATAGCATATAGATGTCGAATGAGGTTGATAAAGGTTTGTGGCACTAAAACCGTAGTGTTGAAGCAGCTGTCTACCAAATTACTTTCGGGTCGACGCTGTCGAAGGCCTTTTCAAAGTCGATAAAGTTCAGGTAGAGAGTTGACTGTCATTCGATGCTCTGTTATTTGATGATGCATAGCATAGCACTGCAATTTGATCCACACATGATTTGTGCTTCCTGAAGCCCGCCGGCCAGCCAGCCAGCCAGCCTGTTCTGGTCGTAATTCTGAACCCACCCCATCTTTTAGTCTCTCCAGGATGATGTGGCTTAATATTTTGCTTCGGGTGGACAGCAGCATGATTCCGCGCCAGTTCTTGTCCTTGCAAAGACTTCGGTCACCCCTCTTCGGGAGTTTGACAAGGTAGCCCTTCTTCCAATCAGTCGGTAGGTACCTTTCCTGCCTTCCAGACCTTCTGTAATAGTGGTGTGAGCAGGTCTGCTGTTGTCTCTGCGTCTGTTTTCAGTGCTTCTGAAGGAATTCCATCTGGTCCTGCTGCTCTCCCGGATTTCAGTAGCCTTGTGGTATTCAGGACTTCGACTTTTGTTGGAGGACTTGTGTTCACTTGTAGTTCTGTGACTGGGCTGCTGGTGGTATTTCTCGACGAGTTGCAGGTGGTGGGGTTGGTGCGTTCGAGAGCCTTACGTAGTGGTCAGACCATCGTTTCCTTTGTTTCCCTTCCTTAGTAATTAGATTTCCTTCATCACCTTTTATTGGTTTCATCTGCGTTGATCGCTTCCCTCCCAGATAGTAACCTGGTTATTTGATACAATGTTGTCAGGTCCCCATCTCTCCTACCTGCAGTTTGTTCTGCTTCACTTGCCAGTGTGTCGTAGAAATGTCGTTTGTCTTTGAGCGCACTCTCCTTCACTTCTTTTTCTAGTGCTTTAAACATTGTACTCAGTTCCTCTTCTCGTCGTTCATCCTTGCACTGTTTCATCTTCCGATTCACCATCACCATCTTCCTTCCCCTCCTCTATCAGCTTCCCTGTGTCCGTCGAAATCCATTCCTTATCTTCTTCCTTCTTCCCTCCTAATACACCTATACAGGTGTCTTTCCATATATCTTTCAAAGCGTTCTAGTGCTCATCCACACAGGTTTCTTCTGGAATGCTGTTCGATATCTCCCATTTTGTCTTGATGGATGACGTGAAGATTTTCTTTGTGGTTTCGTCCTTCAGTTTCTGTTCTGGGTGCTGAACTTGAACTGTGGTCGTCCATCACCAGGTTCTTTGAATTGAAGGTTTTGAACTTGATTTTGAAGGTTCATTTCACTAGACAGTGTGTGGTGTGAACCTACATCTTTTCCCCTTCTTGATCTTGTGTCCATTAGGCTGGCTGCATCTCCACTTTCTTCACATTGAGATGAAGTCGATTTGATTTTTAGTGTGTCCTGGTGTCTAGTGAAATCAAATCCATGTCACTTTGTGAGTGTCCCTGTGCTTATACACACTGCCTCCAATCACCAAGTCGCTGAATGCGTAGAAGTCTGCAAACAGTTCTCCATTCTCGCTCATCATTTCACCGAGTGCTTCTCGGCCAATGGTTAGTTCTCTTCCTGTGTTGTCCGCTCCAAGTTTGGCATTCATGTCTCCCATTAGAATTTTGATGTCGCCACCTGGGGTGAGGTCTTGTCTATTACTGATTGCATTTATCTGTAGAATTCCTCCTTCTTCTCTTCATCTGCATTATTTGTAGGTGCGTAGTGTAGCATTGTATGATTGTGACTTTTCTTCCTTTTGAGTTGGACCTTGCTGTCATGATCCTCATCCTGGTGGAGATTGGTTCCCACTGCATTAAGGAGATCCTTCGATGCTCTTGGTGACGTCATGATAGCCACTCCAAAACTCAGTGTGCTCGTGGTTGTCGTCTGGGTAACAATATCGGAGTAGATTAGATTATTGACTCCTCTCCAGTTGACAGTTTGGAGAGTCCACTTCCATTCCATCTGCTCTCACGAATTCCTAACACTTCTATGCCATACCTTCTCATCTCCTTTGCAATCTGGGCAGCCTTGTCAGCCAGCTTCAAACATTGTTCGGACATTCCATGTCTCCATCCTTACATTCGCTTTCATCGAAAGAAGAGAAGACACATCGACCGACCGGCTTCGCGAAGGCTTTCACCAACCGGCGTCACTTCGTCTCCCCGATTCCAACGAGGAATAAGTTTCATTTTATTTTTTATATTTTGTTTGTGCTTTGAAGTTTTTAAAGCGGTTGGATTGACTTTCCGGGGAAGGGTCACCAGCCCTATGTCCAACCTTCCTTCTTTATATGGGCTTAGGACCGGCTAGTAACTAGTGAACTGGTTAACTTTGCGATGTTAAAATCTCATCAACTTTCAGACTATATTCATGCTGTGATGAGATTTGTTCACAGAGAATTTTTGATGAATGAATTCATGCAACATTTTTGACTTCTTACTTCTTTTGAATTACTTCTTAGCCATCTTTTCTTGTCAACAATAGATCTTTCTGAAACGCACACCACAAGCAACTCTATTTAGCTGAAGATCATGAATAGTGAGGTCTGCGGAGCTGAGACAATACTCGGCTTGTTCAGTCCACCAACAGCTGGCCAATTACTTCCAAACTTACTGCTCTCGTCATCATCTGAATCAGACTCACCGCTTAATCTGCACAGGTTGACAATGTCATTCAATCCGAGTCCAAGAACGTTTTTTAGTAGTAACAGGAATATCGAGACTTCCCAATCTGCGCAACAACAACAACAACAGCAACTTTCACAAAATCATTTCGAGCAACAAGAACATTTTTCATTTAGGAATTCTGTAAATAGTTCGGTGGTTATGACATCGACGACAGAAACAGTGACAGAAACAACAACGACAAACTGTTTAGCACCTGTGTCGAATTCACTAGGACAATATTCAAGATTTGTTGACTCACGTACATCTTTCAGCGGTGGTTATGGTACTGTTAATTGCAGTAATAATAGTGTGGATGATAATGGAGCTGATCTAAGACAAAATGTTGAAAAAATTAAAAGGTGAGTTGTGTGTTTGTGCTATTCTCAGGCCCTTTATTTGTCTTCGATGGCGTTTTGATAATGTTTCTAGGTGCAATCGACTAAATGGATTGGAAATTATATTATCGTTGTCACACAGAATACATATACCTTCTAAGATATGAACTGAAGTTTTCAAGACACAACCGAGCTAGAAAGTAGCTTAGTCAGTAGATCATCTTTCCGTGAAAAAAAAAACATCCTAATCAATAATAACCGACTTCTTCCAACAGAGACTGGAGGGAAGACAGACATAAACACTTTAAAGTAACTTTATTTGCGAAGTGAATGAATTCTGACATTGTTTAGAAGTCAGAGAAGGTTTCGAAGTAATTAATGTGTGAATAATGATAGATTACCTTTGATAGAGCAGGTTACTTGGGTGGCCGTCATGCTTCAACGGTCTAGTGGTGTTTAAAGCGATGGGTCCTAGGATCGAGTTTCAATAATGTTCAGGTATGTGTAGCTGATAACTCTCAAACAGGACGAAACGCTCATCCCAGATTTCACCGCTAGTCACCAAGTACACTATAATGTAATGAATATCTGGGCAGTACTGAGACACTGCATAAGAGGCCATCTGCCAGCAGAGGTCGACCAATTCGACGCAGTATAGCAGCGGGGATTACAAGTATCAACAAGTTTTACCTTTTATATGCCTCAGCCTATATTTAACAGAAATGAGACCGTTCATATGTTTACTGCAACAAGTTTAGTACAGAACTTCAAAAAATACAGATGAACACACATACGTTAGCAAATCTTGAAATGATCTCTAGCAACAAGCTTTGATTTCATTTTACATCATTATTATTATATGGTTAGTTTAAACAAATAAACACAAGCTACTTTCATGGAATCCTTAGGATGATAAAAACTATTGAAAACCTTTACGGCTATAACAGTTTTACCAAGTGTATAGGAGGATTTCACCTGCGGGAAGGTACAGTTTTCAATAAATGGCTGAAAGTGTTTGTAATCGACTTGTTCATTGAAAAAGTAGGCGCCTTCTATGTATTCAGCAACTTCGTTTAAAACTTTTCTGATAGAATTCTCTAAAAATAAAACTACAGATTCACGACATTTTAGAACTTGGTTAGTTTGAAATAAAATGCTCAGTATGTGACATTCTATACTCAGTCAATATTTATCTTGAACTCAAAACTCATACATAGATATGGAAATAATTTGCAAGCTTGCCAGTTTCCATCATTTCCCGCCCAATTTACCTGTCATTGTTTATTTTTCAGTGAGTTAATAGACTTCGAAAGTTCTCCAAAGAAGCTCATACATCTGCCAAAGAATTTACTGACAACGAAGGCTGTAATGTAACTGTTAGCTAGAAGTGGAATCCAGGATACATGTTTTGTCTTATTTAGGATTCGTCAACTGGCTGCACTTGAGTCCCATTGAGTGACGTTATTCCAATGGAGACTCAAGAGCAGTAACTAACGTTATCCACTGGGCTACTGAGCCGAAAGAGCCACTTGTTGAGCGATAGGTATCAGTTATTAACTACTGATAATTCTAATTTCCGTCTGCCGTATTAGGTCGAATTGCTCGACCTCTGTACAACGAAGGTGAGTAAAGAAGGAAAATATTCAGGCATGTCATGATACAGCTATACTGTAGATTGAATGGGATTTAAAAGAATACTGACCATTAAGTATCACTGTAGTATTTCAGTCGTAGTGTGTCTCTCTAAAGATTTATACTTTTTCAGTTCGTTCCGAAAGCTCTTGACAACTCATTGACAGTCGTTTAAAAATTTGAGTGAAGAAGTAATCTAGTGTGTCTTTATTCTCAAAAAAACTTCAGAACGAAAGCCAGTTATTAAAGAAAATTATTTTCATATGATTAATTCTTCATTACTTTATAAACTTTGGTTGGTTAATAATGATTCTTAAATTGTTTGGCATTAGATTTTAGGACAGTAATCCAGCTTCCTTTTTCTGTATTGCTTTATAGTCATCCGTTATTCCCTCTACTTGCTTTAATTTTTGAAAAATGTGAACTTGCCACATGCACTCCACGAGATGAAAATTCCAACAGTTCCATCGATGTTTGTTCGTCTGATTCATTTCAAGAAGATATTAGCGTATTTACAAACGAGGTAAGTTAGTTTATTTCAAGACGTTAACTCGACTAGAAAGTTTTTTTTTTATTACATGACTTGAATGCTACTGCATTTGGAGTTGATGTATACTGAATGAAGAATAACTAACCGATGTGATATAACCGTTTGAATTTGCTAAATTGAAAAGGTAACAGAGTCATTAGTTGGAGTTGGTTTTAACATTATCGGAAATAAACTCATGTCAGACTGAGAAATTTAGCAAGTTAGAAGACTATAAATTGGGAAGTTGTGAAGCAAACAAGGCCGATTATCACACAAGGGAATTTATTATTATTATCATTATTACATTGGGTTCCTAACGAAAAATAGGGCTTCAATACACAATCAATATTTCACTCTCTTCCCTGCAGTCTCCTTAACCTGACTCCACAACTGCCCACAAGCTTTCACTTCTTGCTCACACCATCTCCTCCATGTTACCCTTGACTTGGATGCCCAACTCCTCGTTTCCCATTCGAGCTCCACTCGAGGGCCTGGCCTGAAGCGTGATGTCCCCAATCAGCCCTCTCAGTGTATACCCAACCCATCTCCACTTTCTTCTGCATATTCATTGGATGATAGGTTCTTGGTTGATTCTTTCCCAGATTCCCGTGTTGCTTATTCTTATTATTCTGGCCACCTGATCTGATCTTCAGTATCGAGTGAGCGAAGGCGGCAGCTGTTCATGTTTGTCTGTAGTTTGTTGAAAGTGCTCTTCGTAATGCACCAAGTTTCTGAGCCATACAGAAGCAGTGAATGGATATTGGTGTTAAAAATCTGGATCTTGTTCTTTGTGCTGAGTGCAGTAGATCTCCACACTGATTTCAGGCTAACGAAGGCCTGTCTTGCTGTCTTTCCGATCCTGGTTTCGACATCCTCATCTGTGCCTGTGTCGCCTGTAGTTGAAACGATGCTGTCTAGGTAGGTGAGAAAGACAACTTCCTTTAGATTTCTCCTGTTGATGGTGATTGGATCTTGTTGTTGTTGTTTGGTTGGGTATCTTCATCACCTCCGTCTTCTCTACGTTCACTTGAAGTCCCATCTTCGCTGCCTTGCCTCTTCTGTCAACTTGTTAGTTTTCTCCTGTGGATCTTCGAGCTTGTGCTTCAAGACATTAGACATAAATCATCATCGATGAAATCCAAATCTTCTAGGGTCTTCTCATCGGTCCAGCCAGCGTATACCCATCTTCTCGCTCCTCACAGTTTCTTGCATGATCCAGTCCAGTTCAGTCGACCACAATCAGGAAGATCATGGGTGATAGTAGGCGGGAACCTTGTCTTACTCCTGTCTTCACTTCAAAGGCGTCACTGAGCTTTCCACTGCCAATCACTTAGCATGTAGCACCATATAGCATATAGATGTCGAATGAGGTTGATAAAGGTTTGTGGCACTAAAACCGTAGTGTTGAAGCAGCTGTCTACCAAATTACTTTCCGGGTCGACGCTGTCGAAGGCCTTTTCAAAGTCGATAAAGTTCAGGTAGAGAGTTGACTGTCATTCGATGCTCTGTTATTTGATGATGCATAGCATAGCACTGCAATTTGATCCACACATGATTTGTGCTTCCTGAAGCCCGCCGGCCAGCCAGCCAGCCAGCCTGTTCTGGTCGTAATTCTGAACCCACCCCATCTTTTAGTCTCTCCAGGATGATGTGGCTTAATATTTTGCTTCGGGTGGACAGCAGCATGATTCCGCGCCAGTTCTTGTCCTTGCAAAGACTTCGGTCACCCCTCTTCGGGAGTTTGACAAGGTAGCCCTTCTTCCAATCAGTCGGTAGGTACCTTTCCTGCCTTCCAGACCTTCTGTAATAGTGGTGTGAGCAGGTCTGCTGTTGTCTCTGCGTCTGTTTTCAGTGCTTCTGAAGGAATTCCATCTGGTCCTGCTGCTCTCCCGGATTTCAGTAGCCTTGTGGTATTCAGGACTTCGACTTTTGTTGGAGGACTTGTGTTCACTTGTAGTTCTGTGACTGGGCTGCTGGTGGTATTTCTCGACGAGTTGCAGGTGGTGGGGTTGGTGCGTTCGAGAGCCTTACGTAGTGGTCAGACCATCGTTTCCTTTGTTTCCCTTCCTTAGTAATTAGATTTCCTTCATCACCTTTTATTGGTTTCATCTGCGTTGATCGCTTCCCTCCCAGATAGTAACCTGGTTATTTGATACAATGTTGTCAGGTCCCCATCTCTCCTACCTGCAGTTTGTTCTGCTTCACTTGCCAGTGTGTCGTAGAAATGTCGTTTGTCTTTGAGCGCACTCTCCTTCACTTCTTTTTCTAGTGCTTTAAACATTGTACTCAGTTCCTCTTCTCGTCGTTCATCCTTGCACTGTTTCATCTTCCGATTCACCATCACCATCTTCCTTCCCCTCCTCTATCAGCTTCCCTGTGTCCGTCGAAATCCATTCCTTATCTTCTTCCTTCTTCCCTCCTAATACACCTATACAGGTGTCTTTCCATATATCTTTCAAAGCGTTCCAGTGCTCATCCACACAGGTTTCTTCTGGAATGCTGTTCGATATCTCCCATTTTGTCTTGATGGATGACGTGAAGATTTTCTTTGTGGTTTCGTCCTTCAGTTTCTGTTCTGGGTGCTGAACTTGAACTGTGGTCGTCCATCACCAGGTTCTTTGAATTGAAGGTTTTGAACTTGATTTTGAAGGTTCATTTCACTAGACAGTGTGTGGTGTGAACCTACATCTTTTCCCCTTCTTGATCTTGTGTCCATTAGGCTGGCTGCATCTCCACTTTCTTCACATTGAGATGAAGTCGATTTGATTTTTAGTGTGTCCTGGTGTCTAGTGAAATCAAATCCATGTCACTTTGTGAGTGTCCCTGTGCTTATACACACTGCCTCCAATCACCAAGTCGCTGAATGCGTAGAAGTCTGCAAACAGTTCTCCATTCTCGCTCATCATTTCACCGAGTGCTTCTCGGCCAATGGTTAGTTCTCTTCCTGTGTTGTCCGCTCCAAGTTTGGCATTCATGTCTCCCATTAGAATTTTGATGTCGCCACCTGGGGTGAGGTCTTGTCTATTACTGATTGCATTTATCTGTAGAATTCCTCCTTCTTCTCTTCATCTGCATTATTTGTAGGTGCGTAGTGTAGCATTGTATGATTGTGACTTTTCTTCCTTTTGAGTTGGACCTTGCTGTCATGATCCTCATCCTGGTGGAGATTGGTTCCCACTGCATTAAGGAGATCCTTCGATGCTCTTGGTGACGTCATGATAGCCACTCCAAAACTCAGTGTGCTCGTGGTTGTCGTCTGGGTAACAATATCGGAGTAGATTAGATTATTGACTCCTCTCCAGTTGACAGTTTGGAGAGTCCACTTCCATTCCATCTGCTCTCACGAATTCCTAACACTTCTATGCCATACCTTCTCATCTCCTTTGCAATCTGGGCAGCCTTGTCAGCCAGCTTCAAACATTGTTCGGACATTCCATGTCTCCATCCTTACATTCGCTTTCATCGAAAGAAGAGAAGACACATCGACCGACCGGCTTCGCGAAGGCTTTCACCAACCGGCGTCACTTCGTCTCCCCGATTCCAACGAGGAATAAGTTTCATTTTATTTTTTATATTTTGTTTGTGCTTTGAAGTTTTTAAAGCGGTTGGATTGACTTTCCGGGGAAGGGTCACCAGCCCTATGTCCAACCTTCCTTCTTTATATGGGCTTAGGACCGGTTAGTCTCTTTTGAACGGTTTATCCTTGAGGGTTGCATATCTATAGATACTAGTTAATATTTGTTCTCTCTTTAAGTCAATAATTTTGATTGACAGTTTTTCCGTTAGAGAAACGTGAAAATATAAGTATTCCAACGCTGACCTCTTTATCTGAGTTAGAGAGGATATTGATCTCAAGGTATTCTGGTAATTCTATATAGGTGATCATGATTTCGGTTGCGTTTCTAAATCAGATCTAACTAATGGTCATTAAATTAACCAGTTATTTGATGCCTGCTCATAAGAAAATCAATTTACATAGTTACTTTTGTACTTTATTGCTAGCAACACAAGTATCTGAATGTGGTTTTTCTTGTTGAATGACACTGGCCGCAGGACTGTCGAAGACAGACAGATAACATTTCCATTAGTAAGAATTTTTCAAATCTTCTGCAAAGCTCTTGAATCCATCTCCGTCTACCTTCTTACCCTTCATTATTCATTTCAAAACCGCTACTCTTCGCTTTTAAATTTCATTCCGCACTGCTATTAACGTTGACTTCTACGGAATTATTCCACGTATCTTCTGAATTGGAATTGGAATTAGTATCTCTTGAAGATTACATTAAATTTATTGGTGTTCTTCGCTTGAAAGATGAGGTCCAAAAGTTAAAATTCTAGATGGAACTTACTGGCCGCTTCGTTTTGCATTATGACAAGGTGTTGGTTATATGAAGCGCTGTACCTTGAGAGAAGAATGATGACTACTCAAGCGAAAGCACATTGAAAACTGTACCTATGCTTTACCTATACTTCACGATCTCCGAAAGAGTCTGTCTTAGATGGCTATAATAAATTCTTTATCTTCGTCCACACAACTCGGTATTAATAATCAGACGCTGTTGTTAAAACCGAGGTATGAATCTGCAAATGCATTACTATTACACATAACTGAAGATGTAGCCATTTAACTAACTAGTCTAAACATAGTTATTTTTAGCATTTCGAAGGCTTATTTATTCAAGCAACTCATTTTTGAAGAATTGGTGAATCCCAAATTAGTTTCAGTCATGGAATGATATCAGCTAGATAGCCACTGGAAGTCTAAGAGCATTGGGTAACAGTTTCACGATGATCCGAGTCTCTTTGGCTGTGCAAACCAATTATCTCTCAGCTGATATCAATGTGTAGTGAAAACCATCTTGTAATTTCATTTGAGTTGTGACTATCTTTAGCCTTTTGAATGTTGTCAGCCTATGGGGAATACTGTCGTCGAAAAATTATTTACAAATCACTTATTTAAACACTTCTAGCCTCCATTTATATTTACCATGCGT